CACTGTACTGCAGCCTCTTCAGCTGCAATTGAGCCTAATACTGATCCCAGGGCAGTGTGAGAACAAGATGAAAAACGTGCATGCAAAGTACTAATCTCTGGTGCACATTTGGAACCCAACACAAGCGTTTCCAAATCTTAATTTCATTTTTACCTCTTCCTTTTCAGAATCTAATATAAATGGAATTAAAAATTGCTAGGGAAAAATGACTGCAAATCTCTTCTATGTATACATGGAATTTCCAGATTGTTGTATTGAAGGACCACGTGCTAATAAATTCATTGGTTAGAATTAATGTGCTGTAAATATCTAAGTGAGAACTTTCCAACGCTCATGACATTAAATGACAATTTATTAAGTTATATGAAAAATGACGTTAACTATGAATAGGAACAAAGCTTGGAAGAGAATTTGGAAAATAAATTTTTGCTATGTCAGAAACAGTGAAATTAAGGTGAATCTATAGTTTGAACTTGTAAAAGAAAAAAATGCCCAAAGGACCCCACCTTCCAGGGATAAAATCAGGGAATATGGAATTCTTGTTACCTACGGGAGACCACACAAGATCGGAAGCAGTGGGAATTGTATTGGTTGGAGTCATTACCTTGTCATGATGACCAAGAATGGAGGGAAAGCTGTAGGGAGATTGAGGTTCCTAAGTTTGGCTGCATAGTCTGTTAGAGAAATTAATCTTAGCTTTATCACTAGCTATTACATTGGGCAAAACAATTCACCTTTGTTCTGGGAAATTCCACGTTTCCAAAACTGAACTCACTCACCTTCATCTTTCCCATTCCTCAGAAAGGCTTCCCCATCTTGGATGACCTCGGACACCTCCTTTCTGCAGGTCAATGGCTGATCTTTTCTTCTGTTCCCTGTGGTCACTGCCTTTGTTCAGGTCCCAAACAATCTGCAATTACTGCATCCCCCGAAGTGCTGGGTTCCCTGCAACTGATCTCTCAGATCTTCCTGCAGCACAGCTCAACCCGCATCCTCCTGTCCAAATATTTTTCCCCAACATTCCCCTCTGTGACCCAATCCATCTTGTCAAACTTGCTTTTCTTACCCCTATTCTCAAACTCCAGGTTCATTGGGCACCCTGTCCTATGCTTTCCTAATTACATGGTATTGCTCACAGAAGTTTCTTTCCACAGGAATGCCTCACCCCCCCACCCCCATTTCCAAAGGTTCAGTCTAAAAGACATCACTGAACTCAGATGAGGTTAAAACTCCATTCTCTGAATTTTCACTTTATCCTGGTGATGTTTATCATTTGCAACCAGATCACAAACTCCAGGAGGACAAGAAACACTCTTGGATTTGCCTTCTGAGTGTGTCCGACAGGGTATGATCTAAGACAACAGGACAGAACTTTAAATCTAGCCCCTTGTACACTGTCAGGCAGCAGTCTGAAAAGTGGCTCTCTCTCCCCTAAAGCTTGTGATGATGGTCCTCTGGCTTCTCAACAGTCCCTCAAGGATGTAGACCAGATTGGAATCACTGTACCTCTGGTACCTTGTACAGAACTGGGCCAGACAAGTAATGCAGAGAATGAGGGATGAAGCTAATCCAGCAGTTTTTCTTCCTGGTTTCTTCGTCCAAATCCTAAGGTGATGAGGCATGCCACTTCAGATTCATGGCCATTAGTTCAAACAGTACAGAAGAAAGTTATGTTCATGAAGAACTCATCTGCTGATGCTCCAAGTTCCCAAAATGATTCATTTCTCATCAGCTTGGTCATATGCTTCTTAAGAGAGGAAGGACTATAAATTCCTGAGAAACGAAATTCTTTTATGCTGTTGGGTGAGAAAAATCCTTTAGGAAAAAGTGTTGGCTCCCTACCCATGATCCTAAGAAACCAAAGAGCCATTATGCACTAAACTTTTTATGCTAAGAAAAGAGGTATAAAGAGAGATCAGGAAATACAACTTTGATTTAAGCACCATGAACTTTTTGTCAAGCAAAAATAGTCTTTATTCAAATTTAATGGAAACAGGGGTCACTATACTTTGCAAGACGGGGAAAAATAAAATTAAAAAAAATTATTTTCTTTTATTTTCTTAATATAAAACAATATAATCACAATACCAGAATATGGAACTCTAGAGTTTGTTTCCTATGGGTTACTGCAGATATCAATTTTCCTTGACTGTGCTATTCACAACTTTGTAAGTCCAAAAATATGAAACCAAAGTGGTAGGAAACTTAAGACTTAGCACTTTCACTAAATGGCATACATCAAAGGGCATCAATTCAAGGGCAAAAATGGTTGAACTCACCATACCTACCTATGTCATCATTCCAGCCTTAGACCCGTCCAGGTACTGAGCTCCCTGTAAGAAACGCCAGGCCTGAAAGCCAAGGCATTTTGGATATTCTACTGTGGACCACGAGGAAAGGGGGTTTTCAAAGAGAAGATTGTTTTCAGTCGAGCAGGAAGGCCTGGCGCCAGGAGGCTTTACAGAGAGGAAGCACTTAGATTTAACAATTGTAGACACACCATTAGGGGAGTTAAAAATGTACAGCAGTGACGTATGTTCTACTTCAATCACTTGTGCTACGGCTACCAAACATGTACAAAACTTCTCGGGTAGTTCCAGCTGTGGTAGTAGCCCGTTAGGATCCTGAGTGGGATCTAGATCTAGACCGGGAAGGTGATCTGGATGCAGACCTGGATCTAGACTTGGACCGAGATCGGGTTTTTGAAGCGGACTTTGATCTGGAGCGTGATTCTGACGGGAGATTTGGTTTGGATTTAGAATTGGACCTTGACCGGGACCGGGTCTCCTGATTGGTGCTAGCATCCTTGCTCTCCCCTCCACCTTCCCTCTGGCCAGACTCGGACTTGGCACGTTCCCGCTCCTTTGACACCGAGCGGGACCGTGACCTGGACTGGGAGCGGTCGGCATCTTCCTTCTTTTTCTTCTCGCTGCTGCTGCTTGACTTGCTGTCTCGCTTGCTGCCATGTTTTCGGCTCCTCTTGCTCTTGCTTCGGCTGCGGCTGCGACTGCGGCTGCGGCTGCGACTACGACTACGACTACGACTGCGACTCTCCTCCCGGCTTCTCTTCCTCCCCTTCCTCTTATCCTTGCTTTTGCTGCGGCTCCTGCTGCGGCTCCTGCTGCCTCCCTTGCTCCTGCTCCTGCGGAGGCCTTTCTCCTGACTCCGGCTCTTCTCCTTGCTCTTGCTCCTGCGCTTCTCCTCCTCCACTCTCCTCTCTTGACTCCTGCTTCGGCTTTTACTTTTGCTTTTATGCCGACTGGGACTCCTGCTCTTGGACTTCCTGGTATTGTCGTTGTTCTGAATCTTCTCTTCAACTTGGTCTTTACTCTTGCTGCGGCGCTTGTCTGCACTGCGGCTACGGCTGCGACTCTTGTCATCCTTACTGGGGCTGCGGCTTTTTTCCTTCTTGCTCCGGCTGCGGCTCTGACTGCGGCTACGGCTCTTGCTCCGGGAATGGGAGCCAGACCTGAGAAGACAGTGATGTGAAAGTCACATACAACTCCATGCCTGATGCTAATCATCAGATGGAAAAGTCAAAGGGACGTGGAACCTTGCCCCACAATATAATGCCTTGCCAATGATTGCTGAACACCCAGGATTCCAGTCCAGATCTGGAGAAACTGACGTGAGATAAGACTGGTAACATGATTGTAATCAATGTGGCAAATGGTACGGGTGTTTCCTGTCCAACCCCTCCACTTAAACAAGGAAGACCTACCTAGACCGAGATCTACTCTTAGAATGACTGCTTTTGCTGCTGCCACTTCGGCTTCTGCTCTTACGAGAATGTCTGCTACGAGAGCGAGACCTATAGAGAGAAAACATTAAAAAATATATTAATAATACTTGCTGACAAAAGCCTAGAGCACAGTCAACTAAGATATTTCTTCAATAAAAAAAATTATGGCCCTGACTGGTTTGGCTCAGTGGATGGAGCGCCGGCCTGCGGAATGAAGGGTCCCGGGTTTGATTCCGGTCAAGGGCATGTACCTTGGTTGCGGGCACATCCCCAGTGGGGAGTGTGCAGGAGGCAGCTGATTGATGTTTCTCTCTCATCGATGTTTCTAACTCTCTATCCCTTTCCCTTCCTCTCTGTAAAAAATCAATTAAAAAAAAAATTATGTACGGCACTGACTGTTCAGGCACAACGCTGAGAGAGAACTCTTTCTTCCTTGTGCTCTAGGTCCACAGATCAAGTTGCTCACAAATATCCCACCTGGATGGCTTACCTGAAACTGAGCAACTCCAATCTTGAACTCACTCTGCTGGGTTCCAACCTCATTTCCACAGATGCTGCTGTTATTTACCCACATCCTCATGCTAGAAACCACAGCAACCCTTGACTCTTCTCACTCCTTCATCCTCTTACATGATAATTCAGCCTCTTCTCCAGTCTATCTGCCTCCGCCCCCTTCCCCTGGTCCCACAGCAGCTTCCCGGCATGCCACCTGGCACACTTTTGCCTTTACCCATCTAATCTGTTCCCCTCACGTGGACTCTCCTTATCATTGCCTTTTAGGCTCAGTGGGGGAAACAACAGATTCCAGGTGTAGGGCAGGATATGAATAAGAAAATGGGCTCAGAACATCTCATCATGATAGAAAGAGGCAAACTTTCAGAGATTGCTGGGCACCAACATCTATGAAAGGATTCTTGCCAAAAATTGACCTGTATCTCATCTCATTGACTCCTCTGTAGATCTAACTTCCAGATTACAGGAACTTCAGGGGATAAAGTTCAAATTCAGTGATACCAAGAAGAAATAGGCAAATAAATTCAGAATGTGGGATAGTATTAGAAATCAAAAAAAGTAAATGTCACAGGGACAAGAAGGTAGAAAAACTGCTTCAGACCAAAGAGACCTAACAACCCCTTGCAATGCATGACAATAAGACTAGATCCTGGTAAGGAAAAAACGCAGCTATAAAGACATCCATGGAACAGCTGGGAAAACTGTAATATGGCCTGGACATTAGAGAACTTTAGAGAGTCACTATCAACGCTCTTAGATTAGAAAATAGATGTGTGGTTATCCTTATTTCTTAGAGACACATGCTTAAGTATTTAGGAGCCAAGTGTCATAATTTCTACAACTTCCTTTCAAACACTACAACAAAATAAATGTATAGAGTGTATATAAATACACATACACAGAGCAAAAAAGACAAGTTGCCCTGGTTGGTTGCTCAGTGGTTAGAGCGTCACCCCAGGACTGAAGGCCCCTAGTTCGATTCCCGGTCAAGGGCACACACCCGTTTCAGGTTTACCAGCACCCTCCCCTTCCCCCTGAACCTCCCTAGAAATTAATGGGAAAAAATATCCTGGGATGAGGATGAAAAAAAGTTTTGGGGACCTGGTCAGTGTGGCTCAGCGATTGAGCATCCACCTATGAACCAGGAAGTCCCAGGTTTGATTCCTGGTCAGGTCACATGCTCAGGTTGTGGGCTCGATCCACAGTGTGGAGCGTGCAGGAGGCAACTGATCATGGATTCTCTCTCATCATTGATGTGTCTATCTCTTTCCTTCTCCCTTCTTCTCTGAAATCAATAAAAATATATTTAAAACAAAAGTTTTGAGAAATATTTAGTAAAGCATATTCACACAAAATCCAAACAAAAAGATACTGAAACAGGAGCCAACTTGAAGAGCTCTCAATGACCAAAGACATAACATTCTGAGCATAAAAAATTATGGCCGCAATAGACAAAACATTAAATATATAAACATCCAAAAACTCATTCAAAATGATGCTAAACGACCACCCTTATCACCTTTGGGGGTTACTAGGGCACATTTAATATTCTGAAAGCTGGTAAATAAAAGTATCAAATTTTCAGTTTGCATTTCCTATAAAAACTACTTGAGGGTAACAAAAGTATGGATGAGGGAAATTATCCTTTATAGAAGTATAGCCTTTAAATACAGAAAGAATGAAAAAATTAGAAAGTCATCATTTTGTAACCACCAACAAATAGCTCTAGATAATAATTATCAATAGATGCTAAAATTATTATGTGAAATGTTGATGCAGA